CAACTAAGCTGACACCTTTAGCCTTAAAGGTGCAGGAGGAAAACACAGAATGTGCAAATATTTCCTCACGAAGCAAAAATGTGTAAACATTAGTGTGAACAGCAAATAATAAAAAATAAAAAATAAATAGTGGTTAGCTCTAGAAGCTTAATTCAGCTTTGGACAAAAATTTACTAGTTAAGCAGCTAAATTTGAAGGGAAGGATAATGTAAAGAGCATATGTGGATTTTATTGATATGAATTTAAAGATAGAACAACAAGTGTGAATTTTTACCTACTATTCTTAAGGAAACTCCTAACCTTTAGTGACAGCAGGTTTGCTAGAATGGCTCGAACCATAACTTGACTGGTATCTAGTTAGAAATCTATGGGGATAATAAGACTGGAAAGCATAGATTGGAACTAAAGAAGAAAGATGTGAAGGAAGCTTGTGTGGATCAGAAATCATACCTGGAAAAAGAGCATAAAGAGTTTCTCCATGCAGAAGACATCTGGAAATGGTTATCAGAAAAATGCCTTTACACAAAATATTCCTATTTTTAGCATGTTCATCCTTGTGTCATCGTAATGTTATACCAATAACTTCATCATTGAGAAGAAAAATAACTTTGATGCTGTGACTTTCCATTGAGAATTGGTATGATTTTCATTTCAGAAGAAATGAATTAGTCCAACACTGTAAAAACAAAAAAATGCAGCTCCAATTAAAATGAATTTGAGCTGACCAGTTACTGAGTAATTGATCTACCTGCTACCCATAACCATAACGTATTTCCTATTTTACAAAAAGACCAAATATTAAGCGCAAATTCTGCTGTTTCAAGTAATAATATAAAAATGAACATAAAAGGTACATTACAAAATAAAACATTTAGGTGGAATTAGCACTCGTTAAAATACTATTGGGTTACAAAACTTACTGTAGCATATCTGTAAAAAACAACAGTATAATATATTTTAAATCAATGCAAATGCATCATAACCAATAAGGTCAATAGGCTAGTTCTCAGACGATAAATAAGACTCATGAAACAGCACAGACTAGAAGCTTGCAGTTGCGAGTGCCTTGTATTTATAGTGAGGAAAATTATATACTGTACATATTTACAACATCAGTGAAACATCCAAATGGCCATATAAAATCCGCAAAAGAGAAAAAACAAAACAATAAAGAGAAAAAAATAAAATTAATCAATTCCTCAATTAATGAAACCACGTCCCTTCAGTCCATTCACCCAAAGCTGGGGTTGATTAAAGGTCCCAAGCAAATTCCTTTTAAAGTGCTTGGTGCAGTGCAGGTCATGGACTGACAAAAGTCAGAGCAGACTGGAAACATAATTGTTTGTTGGCTGCAAGGAGCCTCCTACCAGCCTGGCAGGAGATCCAAAGTCTTCATGCACCCAAAGTGCAATCTTTCTTGGGCTCTAGGCCTGGACCTTCAGCTCGCCATCAACACCTGGCCAATTCCATAGTTTGTATCTCACACAAACAGGTTTTTTCCCCATCTCACCTCTGCCATGTAGTTAGTTCCTGCAGCTCTGCTTCTCCCAACATGCCCTAATCTTTCATACTTCCCCACTCCAACTAATATACCTAGCTGATAGGCTGTGGTACATGTGAGCCTGATACTCAACTGGCTGTGTAGTAATGAGGGGATGGAAGTAAAAAAAATACACAGATTTGATCACTGGGATCTTTCTCCATTATCTAAACATGTAACAGGAAATCACTGGGATTTACACCCGGGTTACATTACACTAGGTGGAAAATAATAACATAACAGCCTTTAATTGAATGGCAACTAGAGTTTTACTGAAGACGATTCAACACGTTTGAACGAGTTTTGGATGGTTGTCAAAATGTCTTCAGAAAAACAAAACTAAAGTCTGTTTGCCTTCCAAGTAAAGTCTCTTTTGTGGTTGCCATGACCTGGATGACAGAACCTACACAAGCATTAAAACAATAAGCATTGAGTCCAAAAAAAAAGGGTGCATATTTGTTTTAAAAAAGATTGTTTTCATTAAATGAATCTGCTCACAATGAAAGCAGTGGCCAGAAATTTGAGTCAAGTATGAGTAGTGATACTTTTACTCAAGTAAAAGTAAAAGGTACAATGGTGTAAATACTCCAAAAAGCACATTTGTTTCAATAGGTTACTTAAGAAAATTTAACAAGCTACTACCCACCTCTGGTGAAAATGATCAGGATAAAAGTAAAGATGTGATGCATTCCATAAAAGGAAAAATAAAAACAACTTTTATTCAAGGCCCTGATAGTCTCCAACCAATACCAAAAAATGCATCCTAAAATATGCACTTTCTGAACATGGCAATATTCACCGACTCAATGAATCAGACTGAGCATGACCAATTCACCAGCAAACAGGGTGCACACACCATGCTGTTATGGCCTTTAGCTACGGTATGTAGATCAGGGGTAGGCAACATGGGACCTCGTCTGCCGCTGTCCTGCAGCTTTGCATGCATCCCTGCTCCAACACACCTGAAGCAAAAGGCCAAATGACCTCCTGGGCATGCCGGTAAGTAAAGCAGAGACCTGGCCATTAACAATTTATTTGTTTCGGGTAGGGCTACAACTAACGATTATTTTGCAAATCGATTAATCTCGCAATTATTATTTTTGATTAATCAATTCAAAAGGTCCTTAAAGAAGATTTTTTACTAAATTAAACCAGGTGACACTAAAGCTTTTCCACTGAAGAAATTCTGGTTAGAGCATATTGATGGACCAAAACATGTTTTTTTTTTTTTCTTAAATGCAAAATGTTTACTATTGTTTTTACAATCTTTGTATAATTGCTACTAAAGGTGGGTTGCTTTGTCAGCTAAAAGCATGTTTTGGAGTCTCTATACTCCATTAATCGATTCATATATTAGTTGACAATTATTTCAATAATTGATTAATCACGATTAGTCCGATTTATTGTTTCAGCCCTAGTTTCAGGTGTGCTGAAGAAGGGATACATACAAAACCTGCAGTGACACTCGAGGACCAACATGTAGATAATAAACAGCAGAAAAATACAATGCCAAATCAAACTAGTGATCACACATTGACAAACCCCGAAAATATTCCAGGACTCTCAGTAAAGGGTGTCTTCTCATTTACGTTTCTAAATAAAACTTTTCAGGGTCATCCCTTTAAAGTGAGAAGAGTGGTGAGAACAGCAGAGAAGATCATGGGGGCTCCTCTTCCCTCCATTAAAGACATTTCATCCCAGCGCTGCGTGTCTCGAGCTCGTAACATCATTAATGACCCCTCACACCCCCACCATGGACTGTTCTCCCTGCTGCCCTCTGGGAAGAGGCTTTGAAGCATCCGATGCAGGTCCAGCAGATTCCAGAACAGTTTCTTCCCCACTGCCATTAGACTACTGAATGTTATTTAAAATGGTTTAAAAAACAAACAAACAAAAAAACAGAATGTTGGAACTGTAACTATACAGTTATAAGCTTATATCACTTTATTTTCAACAAGTTTTTATTATTGCTGCTTACCTTTATCAAGGCTGCACTTTAAAAAAAAGGAAATAGTCTAGAGCTGTTCTTAAAAAAATTTCTTTTTGTTTACACTTCTAAGTCTTAAAAAACGTATCTTTTTCAAAGTCATAAACTTTGTAGGACCACTGCTTGAATTTGTTGCTTCAACCAGTCGTGGTGAAGACTGTAGTGGTGCAGAACACACTGATGAAGAAGACGCTCAGGGATGTCAATATAAAAATAATAAAACCAATTTTACCAGCTGCATTTAACAGGGACAAGCTAATTCAATCAGAAATGTCATAAATGAACAGAGGCTTGAACATTGTAGAATACATGATTTGAAATAGTGGTGTTATTTTTTCTAATGAAGCAACAAGTCCTACGACAGCCTCTGTTAATTCAAGGCGTCTTTATCAAGTTCCTTTGAAGTTCAGTAACATTAAAAGAAAAGAACTCAGTTACTTCTGAAAAGATAAAAATTATGTGGAAAAAAGAGACTTTATTTCCAAGACAAACTATAGCATAAATTCATATACAGCAAAAACAGTGTCCATCAAAAAATCTATTTTCCATAATTCCAAGATACTCAAGGCAACGATACAAGGAGCAATATGCACTCTGTCTAATGTGCTGCAGAGTTCACAGATACAACAGGAGGGGCGTTAGACGGCCGGAGGACGCACGGTCACATCGTTAAGTGTATCGCAAAATTATGTTAATTCATTATGTTAATGAACAAGTATAAAGCTGCAGATCAGTCTGAAAATCTTCTAATACTGATGGGTGTTTGTGACCAAAACACTTATTTTCTGTCTCCATTGAAACAAAATGAGACCTCCCCTTTAGGGAGAATACACCGACCTAAAGCATTTTCACAGTTCCAGTTTCTGTTTTCATTTGAGGCCAGGTACATTGAACTGTAATTTCTTTTAAAAATACCATATTCATGAGGATTATCAAAGGTTTTGTTGTTTTTTTAATTTCTGGATTGCAAAAAAATAGGTTTGCACACTGATCCTAATCCGATCGCATTAATCCATTTCTTAGTCTGGTGAGTAATCTACAAAGAACACTTCATATCCAACAGGTTTCTGTGGCTGCTTTCCCTTCAGGCAGACATCAACAATTTCTGAACTCAACATCTACTGTTTCTTTTTTAGTTTTTTTTTTTAACAACAACAGAATCTACTTTGGAAAAAACAGGTAAAATGTGTCTGTTTTAGTAATTTTGCTAAACTGAATGGACTTAAAAGTCTTGGTAATCTAAATAACTTCCGGTAGATTAACAGACTAAGAATGACAGATAGGCAGTGGCTAATATTAAGACTCAATCATTGAAAAGAAACACAGGAACTAAAAATAATAACTAACCAACATTTAACGACCACACAAGCAGCTTTTAGGTTTGTCACTGTTTTTATTTTTAAAAACACTCTTCCAGATGTTAAAGGGGAAAACCCCCCGTCATTTATAGTCACCTATTGAAAAGAAATATGATTTTTTGATTCCATCCAAATCTAGACTTTTCTACAATGATTTTTATGATGAGACATTTAAAATGTTTGTTTCAAACCTGGCCTCTTGCATGATCGATATAATGTTGAAAGAGGTCTGAAACTGCTGGAAACGCAGCTCCACACACAGCACAGTCTAAATTGTCTAAGGCGGATTCTTTTGATTTGCTGGCATTTTGAGTCCAGGATGATTTCATGTGTTTTGGGGGAGTTAAAGCTTTTCCTGCTTCGTTTTCTTTCACTTTGTCATAGCAGATATCTCTTTCTGGGCCTAAATGTGTCTTGATCGGATAAAGAGGAGAACATTCTCTTTCTTGACTATTTTGGAACAAAGGTGATGGTTGAGAATTTAGATCAGGGTGTTTTAGTGAGGGGCTTAAAGTAGAGCTGGTTCTGGCAGCTGACTGAATAGATGTTCCTGGATTACTTTGACTGGGAGGGATTTCAGCCTTCAGCTGGAAGGTGGAAGCGTCTGTGAGCAGCACTAAGTTGGACTCTTTGCGTAGGTCTTTCACTGAGGAATGGCAGAGCTGATGGGTGAACAGCAGGTCGAGCGTCCGGAAGCTGCTTCTGCACTGGTCGCACTGATACGGCAGGAACATTTTCTTTGGCCGCTCCTCGATCCAGCGGAATTCGGGGTGCTCGTTCATGTGCTTTCTGTAAGAAGAGGTAAATCGAAAGCCCCGCCCACACTGCGGACAGGTGAAGCGTCCGCTGGGTTGCCGATGGAACCTCTGGTGAGTCCAGAGTTTCTTCCAGCTACCCAGCGTCTTGCCACACTGGCTGCAGGGGTAAGATTGGTCGGGAGAGTGGGTGAGCATGTGGGCTCGCAGCCTGCTCATGTGCCGGAACTGCCGGCCGCAGCTCGGGCACAGATATTTCCTGGGGTCAGACCTGTCGTCCAGCTGATTCAGCTTCGAAACCAGATACGAGATTGGAGGAGGGGGGCTGACTGGACCCTGAGGTCGCTTCTTCAACTTCACAGGGCGTCTTTTGCGAAGGATAATTAGTCGCTTTTTCTGTGGCTGGAAATCAGGAGTTTCCACAGGAGGCGGACTGTTGTATTTGGAAGAGGTTTTGGAAGGCACTCTGTAATGAATCATTGTCATCATCTCCTCCTCCTTCCCCGAGCTGGAAATATTCCTTTCTGCTGCGCAAGGAACCCGATGGGCTTCAAAATCAGACATCAAACTGAAAAGCTTGTCGCAAAACAAGCATCGGAACAGCCTAGTTCCCGTGTGTTCCTTCATGTGATTGTTGAAGTTCTGCAGATGATCAAATACTTTTTTGCAGATGTGGCATGTGTACGTCAGCAAAGGCTTGATGTGTCTGTTGGCTTGTGGGTTGCCGCTGCCTCTCACTGGTCTGCATGTGTGGTTTTTGGCATTGCTGTAGTGGGAGAAGGATTTCTCGCAGCGCGTGCAGTTGTAGCGCTTCACAGTCCAGTGCGTCAGCTCATGCACGCGGAGAAAATAGGACTGCCCGAAGGCTCTGTCGCATATTTCACACTTGTAGGGCTTCTCTCCCGTGTGGATGCGGACGTGTCTCTTGAGGGCGGACTGGAACGGGAAAGTTTTGCCGCAGTACTGGCAGGTTTTGCCGCCTTTCTTTTCTGGAACATGCTCTTTCTGAGTCTCCTTGGGACTTTTGGTGGTTCTGTCTTGGCTCGGTTGTTCAACGACTTCGTCTGGAAACGCCAGGGCCAGTTGGTCCACCCCTTGCGTGTGTGTCTCCATGTGAGCAGCGTACTGCGAGATGGAGACGCTGCTCTTGCACAGCGGACATTTTTGATACATGTTGTTCTTCAGGTGCATCTTAAGATGAAGATTTAAGTTGGAGTTTTTGGTGAAACCTCTCCCACATTCGTCACATTTAAAGGGTCTTTCTCCGGTGTGGATGCGCTGATGAACTACTAACTGAGACAGAAACTTAAACAGACGGCCACAGTAGCTGCATTTTAGCATGTTTTTGCCCCCTTTTCTAACATACGTGACATCTTTGAGCTCTGAGCCGACTTCTGTTTTCACGTCACAGTGGTCTGGTTTTTGTTCAACTTCGGGGGTCCCCTCGTCTTTCTCTACATGATTGTTACTCAGCACAACTTTAACTATTCTTCTCTTTCTTTTTCCACCTTTCTTGCACCTAAAAACCACTTTCCTTTCTAACATGTTTTCACTACTTTGAGAAGCTGTGCGACTATCAGACACAGGAGCTAAAGCCCCTACCTCTGTCTCTATATTCTCAGATTTCACAGTTACAGATTGTGGTTCTTCTTTAGAGGATGAAACTAAATCTGTGCTAGAAGATTCTACCTTCTGCACATCTGCATCAAGGGGAGGATCAAATGATTCAGAAGTTTCTAAATCTGACTCCTTTCTGCCATTTATTGTTGAAGGCTCCCCTACATCTGGAATATCAGTTTGTGATGTGTTTACCAAACCTGATCTGTTCTGATCCTCTGCAGGAATCTTTTCAGTCTCTGAGGGAGATTCAAGCGCCTCTGTTTGCTCTGCGTGCTGCTCTTGTAGTGACGACTCAGCAGTATTAGTGTTTGCATCGGTCTCCTGTTTATCAGCACTCTGTTCCACCAGTTTCTCTGTCTCTGGTTTCCCCTCACAGTACCCCTCGTTGCTCAGTACTGATGAGGACTCTGTGGGATCATCCAGCTTCGCCACCTTTTCTGGAACCTCCTCATTAATCGGGGGCTTAGTCCTCCTCCTTCTCCTGATTCCATGGCTGTGAATCAAGTGACTGAATTCTGTTAAGATCCCCTCCGCTTGCGTTGTTTCATCAAGGCTGTCCGATTTTCCATTCTGCGCTGAAGGGTTCTGCTCTGCTCTGCTCCTTAGGGTCCATCCGACGTTATTAGGACGAACTATATGGACGGCAGCCTTCTTTGAGACCGCATGTTGTGAAGTTGAAGCTTCTGATTTTTTCGGCCGTCCTCTTCTTCTTTTTAGCTGCGAGTTGCCATCGCCATCTACTTTATCATTCAGGACAGCATCATAACCTGATTTATCATCTTGAGATGATTCACTGACCATATGATGGTCTGAATCCCCAGTGCTGTCACTGACTGAGGCTGCTGGTAAAGCCACTGGGAGGCTGACCTCCTCAGGTTGATCCCCATCCAATCCAGCGGCCACTGAGTCCTTTTTGTCTTTGATTGGATGTCGTTTGATTTTAGCAGGCCTACCGGGTCTTCTTCTGACCTTTCTACTGACTGTGGGCGGGCTTTTAGCAGTCAGCAGAGATGTGTCTATCTCCGTAATTGGCTGAGAGCTTAGGTGTGCAGTTTCAGAGCTCAAACAGACGTCAGACTCTACAGGTCCTGATACCTCCATGTCCTCAGAAATCTGTGAAAAATAAGGGAAAATGGATTCAATTTATTAATGTTCCAGAAATCAAGAATAGAAAAACAGCCCTTCCTACACTTTCATATTGTTTTGTATCTAGACATCTTTATGCAAACTGGTAACATTATGTGTGGATTTAGACTGGGTCCCCGTCTCTGACTCCATCAAAGGCAGCAAGAAACTTTGGCTTCATGATTGACGATCAGCTGACCTTTAAAGATCATACTACCTCTGTCTCTCAATCTTGTCGCCTCACACTACTAAACATAAGAAAGATCTGGTCATACCATAACCCAACATGCCACCCAGTCTTCCAGCCTGTACGATAAAACCGCTACAATTGATCCAGAACCCGGCGGCGCATCTGGTCTTTAATAAGCCCAAAAAGTCTCACGTCATCCACCTGTTCATTGAGCATCACTGGTCACACCTGGCTAACCGCATTAAATTCAAGTCCCTGAAGTTAGCCTACAAAGTGCTGTAGGGTATGGCTCCCGCCTACTTGAACCGTCTAGCAAAGGCTTATGTCACATCTGAGTCACTCCGGTCAGCAATGGATTGTCATGTAGTAGTGTCTACACCATGCTTAAGACAATCCAGACTGTTTTCATGTGTTGTTCTAAGATGGTGGAATAACCTACCAAGCACTACAAGAACTGCAGCAGCATCCCTGTCTATCTTCAGGAAACTCCTAAAGACCCGCCTCTTCAACGAGCATCTCCTATGCTAACTATTACCCATAGCTCTGTACCCTTCTACTACTCTTTCTGTACTTCCCTCTATCTCTTTGCTGTCAAACCTGATTGTGACAAGGGATTTTGCCCTAGAGAAAGTATTTTCATTTTGATGATAACCATAACATAACATAATGCATAAACATTTAATGTAATGAGCCAACAACACAACATGGTGGGGGGAGAATCATACTATGAGGATTATTTTCTTCAGCGGCGGTCAGTAAGATGGATAGATCAATACAGAAAAAAAATAGTTAGAAGAAGAAGGAGACTAAAGACTGTGGCACAGCTTCACCTTCTAATAGTGTAACGGCTGTAAGTATCCAACCATAGAAACAACTGAATGGTTTGGATATAAGCGTATCTGTGTTAGGATTGAAATATCAAAGTCCAGATCTTAATCGAAGAAAGAAATCTGTTGAGAACTGCTTTCCAAGGATCTAAATGAAAGAGGAGGAGTGAGCAGATTATATGAGGATATCCAGAGGATCACTTCACCATCTCTTAGTCATACTAAAGCACAGTGGGAAGAGGAGTTGGGATTCGAGGTGTCATCTCCTGGCAAAGCGCAATTAGGGGAATACATTCAACTTCGATCTGTATCAAACATGGTTTGCTCCAGTTTAAGGTACTACACAGGCTTCATCTATCCAAGAGCAGGCTTGAGAAGGATTTACCCGGATGTCCATCCGACTTGCTCCCGATGCGGTCAGGCTACAGCTACCCTCTATCATATGTTCTGGGGTTGCCCAAACTTGACACAGTTCTGGTCTGAAATTTCTGATACATTTTCTTACATTTGTGACAGAGAGATAAGCCCTGCCCTAGAAATTGCTATATTTGGTGTGGCCCCTGCATAGATGGTGATATCAGGTGCACAATCAGATGCTATTGCATTTTCATCTCTATTGGCCGGACATCTCATTTTGCAGAACTGGAAGTCAGAGAAGCCCCCCACACACAGTCTCTGGGTCCAAGATGTAATGGCACATTTAAAACTTTAGAAAATGAAGCGCAAGATCAGGAGATCAACCCAGAGGTTCTATAAGGTCTGGCAGCCGTTTCTAAATTATTTACAATTACAATTGTCTGCTGGAAACACAGGAACATCATTGAGTGATAGGCTCTGTAACCCTACTGCAACATCTCAATATTAACTTATTTATTCATTTCTATTATTATGATTTATTTTTTCTCTTTTATAATTATTTCTTATTTTTATATGTTGTTATCCCTTTTGTTTTTTTGTTCTCATTTTTAATTATTTTCCCTATGTTATTGCAATTTATTGTTAATGCTGGGACTGTTGTTTTTATTTTATATGGACAATTCAAAATCCAATAAAAATATTTGAATATAGAACTGCTTTACCCAGATGTTACATATCTGCCTATGTTTGAAAGGCCCAATAACTTTACACTGTTAGATAATATAATCTACTGTAGAATGAAGACTCCATATGTAAGCAAGTAGGGCATGGGGACATGGTTTCAAACTCGAGAATTTTCCCAACCAAATCTAATTAATAGATATTTTCTCTCACTTAATTTAAATAATCAAAACAATAAATTACATATTTGGCTTATAAAAACTAGGTTTTACTTCAACAACCCGCTCTGGGAGGTAACTTAAAAGGCAACGGAATTCAGAAATAGATAAATAAATACAAAAAAACTAAATGTTTGCAGCTAGTGGTATCACACATATAATTAGTTTATCACATGTAAGTACACATCTACGAACAAAAAGCGAAAAACTGAAATAACTCTGAGCTATGGAAGCGAGAATAGAGAATCTACAACCAGCTGCTGAAACACAAAAGCAGTCTTATTGAACCAATGGAAATAATGTGTACCCATTAAGGTGGATTGGCAGTTTTTTATAGGTTTGGCTTTTACTTTAAAATAGCAAAAATTGGAACCAGTGTTGCCCGATGGGCTCTGGCTGACACAGAGAATATGCAAATACATTGATTTCCACTGTATTTTCCTGTTATGTCTAACAATAGACTGAAGAGTCCTGCTGTGAAATTGCTGGTTTTAATTTGTGAGGAAATGCAAGATACCATATCATTGGTGATAGCTCATTTAACTCTAATGAATGTGTTTTCATATCACCACGATCTTACTGAAAAAAGTAAGTGAAATGGAGGGAGATGAAATACAGATTTTTCCAAAAATTAAATCAGATTAATCGATAAAATTGATTAAACGCCAGACCCTACGTGCAGATACTGCTAAAATGTCAGCAGTGTATAAGATCTCAAGCTTTACGTTTACAAGTTTCCATCTGGGGCTACCTGCTTGCAGTCCGATGGGGCATGAACAAAACTGCAGGGAGGGCTTGTAGAAGTTAAATCACAGTCTGTGTTTTGGTCCCCGCTTCCTCTGCCAAATGACATTTTAGTTCCCATGGCAAAACGTCTGCAGAAAAAGAGAATAACAGAGAGGCAGTGAAGTTTAATGCAAAGCAATAGTTTACCATAATGCCTGGTAGTCATGATTTACAGCCTGGAAACCAAGTTAAATGTGGGTGCAGTGTTAGTTTGTGTCAACAGCTTACAGGTGGTTGATGCATTGTGCTTGAGCGGGGATGATAAACAAGCATGGACATCATCGGATAATGGTTGTATGAATCTGAAGCAGACAAATGGGCTACAATTAAACATTTCATCAAGGTCCAATGATTCACAAGAAAACCGGTCAACTGCAATGAAAATGACACATAAATCCTAAATCTTAATTATTCCTTTATAAAGTAAAAATTTTTTTTGCCTTCCTAAAAAAATCTCCCTATTTACTTTGTTGTAAAGTACGATAATGAGCAGCTGCTGGGCAACAATCTCAGAAAAATAACGTACCCACTCTTGAATTGGAGGAAATGTAATTATCAGCTGGGAAATACACAATATATTTTATTTTTTACCTGAAAACAATACAGCCTAAATATGCAGCATGCAATTTGTCTGCTGTGTGTTCATGACCAGAGGTTGTAACATTAAAAACACTGAATCTAAAGTTATAAAGTGAAAATGAATCCAATTAAGAGAAATTGATGATTCTGATTTTGATTAGCCTCCTTTAAAAAAAGAATACATAACATATTTCAGCTACAAGACCTCTGAAATAAATCCAACCTTTGAGGCGCAAACTGTCATTAGGCAGGAGATTGGAAATGTTCCTCTAAATAGTGTTCATTTGTTTTTTTTTATTTTTTAATAGAATGAAATAGAAAATCCCTTTAATGTCCCACTATGGGGAAATTCTGGTGTTACAGCAATAAAAAAAAAAAAGATTATAGAAAAAAAGGTCACACAAATGTGGACCTTAGAAAAGTGTATAAGAATAACATAATAGAAAAGATTTAAAAAATAAAACACTGCACTGTAAAGTGGTTTAACAATATAAATACTTTGCATCTTGAGAATAAATAACCAATATACAGCTATGGATATTTTTACAGTAATGATATTGGAAAATAGCAGCAACATCTGAGATGTGCAAAATGACAGCAGCATGTTATTTACCTCACTAAGGTGGAAACTGCAAAATCGGCATGAATGTAACAACTTCTATAGAGATGGTTATAAAGTCTTACAGCTGCTAGGAGGAAGGATCTGTGATAATGCTCTCTGGTGCATTTTGGGTGCAGCAGTCTGTCACTGCCAAACACATTTAATAATAATATGCATAAAGTGCATAAAACGTGAATTTGCAGCAATCCTCATGTTTTAAAACTATTTCATGTATCAGTCGATTTTTACTGTGACCGCTTTGAGACAACAGTGAGATATTTTAGATAATTGTCTAGTTTTACTCTAAATAAACACAAATTTAAAACTTTGTATAGACTTTAATATGAATAAGTAACAAATTAAAGAGCAGTACCCTCATAAATAGATCATATATCTATATATCTATCTATATATATATTTTTTTTTTTAAGAAAAAGTCCACTAATTTTTGGAAATTGAAAATATACATTAGGCATAAATAACATCGTTTGCCTAAGAGGAGCTCCATTAAATATGGAATCATGTGTTGTAACAAAAACTCTCCAATATTTCGAATTAATGCAACAAAAGACGCAAAGAAAGCCATTCAGTTTGTCCGGATGAAGGAGACGCAGCTAACATCAGCTCTCCTCCTCACTGATCATTATCAAAAGGAGACTTTCTGATCAACAACCACCTGGATCTGTCTGTTATTCTACTCCACTCCCAAATAAATTCCCTCAAACTTGTTCTCAGAGCCCGTCTGAGAATTTCTCTCACCCTTTCATCAAGCTGATGGTTTAAACATCACAAACTAATGACAACAATGAGAACGAGGCGCGCGCGCAGGCCAGTTAGCTAGCTGTTTCACAAACACGGCGCAGGCCAGCCGCATCCAAAGGATAACTCCAGTCTCTGCCTTCAAAACTTTGTTTATTCGTAATAGCGAGTGTGGAAAATATCTGTTTCAAGCAGCGTGATGGGTTGTAGATAACTCAAAGTGCTTGCCTTGCCTTGAGTGTGCGGTAAAGAGGAGTCGGGATTGGTTTCTGCGTCGCATGCACTGACCGTTGCTCCGCTAGCTAACACTAGCTAACTTAAATCTGTCTCCCTCTGTGGCTCTTAAAAAACTTTGAACAGCTCAACAGCGACCTGAACACTGAGCTGCTAAAGAGGACCAGGTTGGACCTTCTTCGCTGGGCAGTTTTCCTATAAAGAAACACTCTTTATCCATGCCTAAAGTAGCTTAGAACCACTAGGCTATTAACGCGGAGTGGTTAATGGAGTGTCTACTTCGAGGTCCGTCGGAAATATTACTATTTTCACTCAGCTTTGAGGACAAAAGATAAAAATTACAGAATGTGTTTTAATTCCAACAGAAGCACATTATTGTATTGTTTAATTTATTTATATTGTTTATGTACATTTTGGCAGTGCGCAAATGCCTCTAACGTAAGACTGAATAAATGGTTTTATGTTGTTTTGATGGAGTGGAATTTAAATTTAATGCAGAGAATGGCTGCATTCATCGTATCAAAGGATGTAAAATTTTTATCCTTTTACTTATAGGAAATTAGTTTTCACTGAAATGGGAAAAAACGCAGTAAGTATGTTTAAACTTGATAACTTCCTCATTTAAAAAGCTTTTTTCCCATCCGTTTTTGTCACAAATACATGTTTCACATTTTTAGATACATTCCTATATGACATAAGAATCAATTGCATCTTGTATAAAACTACTTTATAAAGACTAACTATATGTAAATAAATTTAATCTAATACTAAATTAAAATAAATTTAAAAACTAGTATTTCTAGTCCAATTTAACAGACGAAGCCTTTTACACTAAAGAGCCATATATAACTGGCGCTTTTTCAAACAGCACCTGAATCCCTCATAAACGCATTGATGACGAACTGGACCGTCAATCATTTTTTTCTGTTTATTTAAACTGCTCCCCCTGCTGGAGATACTATGTAACAGTTGGAAAGGTTTTAAGTTTTCCAATGTTGGTTACATCTTTGGGTTTGCAGTATTTCTGTCCGAAAATCTGACTAAATCCTGTGGTATTTGGGTTTTGTTACTGTTTTTTTTTTTTTTTCTCCATGTTCTAACTTTAAATTAATGGAGTGGTAGAGGGCCCCATTACTATTCTTTTTTGCATTTTGACTCATTCAGATTATGAGTTTAAATACATTTTAAACCCCAAAATTATGCATAACTTTGTAGAAATAAAATTACATGCTTTTACCAAGAAGTGTTTCAGAGTTTTCACTGAAATCATCACCTAAATCATAATGTTGAAAATTAAAATCTCTTTCAACACATCGGCCAGTGTTATGCATAACTCTGGGATTAAATATGTTATTGTATTTATAAAAAACAAATAAAAGTGACATTTCTCAAAGAAAATTGAAAAAGCAAGTTTGAAAATATACTTTAATGCATCATATACTGTATTCATAAACTCCAACAAAGTTTGTAGGAACACACAAGGTATGAGAGGTTCAGTCCCGCAGCTTAACAAATTTTCATCCAACTAAAAATGTGAATAAAAACATCAAAGACCTTTACACAGTACCTGGTTTCCCCACCAAAAGTAGATAAACCATGCACATATATCTTGAAGCTGACTAATTTACACAAATTCCCATTCAAGGATCAGAGACTTTCAAATCTTGAACAATCTACATGAACAATTATTTAATTAGAAAAGGATATCTGGTTTAATAAAGAAGCTTTATTTACTTATTTTCTACTCCTAAAACAGTTTGGGAAAAGCTCAGAAGGTCCCTGTGTGATGAAAATATGCCGATGCGCCCTTGGTGGTCAACAGAAACGATGACATGCAAACACAATGTGCCTCGCTAGACTACTAGTCAACTTTTTATGGGGACAGACGAGGTTACTTGATAAATCACCTCAGCAGGCTTTGCAGGTCCGCTTTCAACAATAAAACAGTCATCGTCAGACTCTCCTCCTGCGCCGCCGTTGATGGGGGCTGATGTTTTCCCTTTATCCAGACTGACTGCCACTATTTGGGGCTTCTTTGTGTTGCCGGAAGGGCTAAATCCAAGCTTCCTCTCACCATTTATTTGAGGGGAACTTGGCGTTACCTTAACTATTTTGTAATCTCGCTTGGCACTCATGTGCTTGGCCATGAACTCCTGCGCTTTGACGCACTTGTGCCTCTGAAGCCGCTGGGCGCTTTCAAAAGGAAGATGACACACCCGACAGGTGAAGCCGCTTTGCTCGCTCGGCGATGCGGAGACCTCAGCCGACTTCTGTACCACAGGAGGATTGATACGGGCACTCGGGCGGCCTGGACTGAACGTGGCGTCGTTTGGAGTCTTCGCCGGCATGGAAACTCCAGACTGAGGTTTTGATGCGTTGGCGTTCTGACTCTTCAGCTGCAGAGGTGCAGTGATGGCTGGTACCCGACTGTTGGATGTTCTGATGTTTTTCTTCGGGGCGGAGGCAGGAGATGGCCGGCTCCCTTTCCAAGCTGTCCTTGGGTTTTGGTTTTCCAGCTGCTGAGCGGCGGCTATCTGAGGCGGACGGGAAGGTTGATTCTTTTTAGCAATGGCTCCGGGCCGGGGCTTGTAGCTCAGTGGTTTTGCGGTGATGAGCCGGTGTTTGCTCTGATTGTTAGCGTTGCAAACATGAAATCGAGGCACTAGCTTTTTGCTCGATAGCAGCAGCCCGCATCCTATGCAGCCACAGACTTTATCTGCCACGTGCGAGCTGTGGTGGGACACTAGGTCGACCTTTGACACGAAGCCCTGTTCGCATTTACCACAAGTGTATGGCTTTGTCTTACTGAAGTTCTGCATGGCTTGCAACAGCACAACAGGCTGATAGAGCGTCCAGAGGTCCACGGTTGGCGCTCCAACCTCTGCAAAGATGTTCTGCACGGCTGCACTTTGGGGGACAGGGTTTGAAAGCAACGCAGGCACTTGTGAAATCGACGCGCTTTTTGTTGAAACATGTCCTGAAGTATTTGGAACTTGACGTTTGGAAACTGAGGGGAGATTGGCCTCATTGGATGCCTTCCACACAACCTGCCCCTCCTCCAACCTTTTAAGCTTTTCTTCCTCCTCCCTGTACTTCTCGATCCTACGCTTCTTTATGGTTTGGTGATCGAGCATTTGATGCCCAGGTACGTGCGTGGTGCTGTGCTCCAGCATGTCTTTGTACTCTGTGAACTCTGTTCCACAGGAGCAGATGAAACTGGCCAAGGGACACAGGTGTTCTTCCAGGCATCTCTGATTTGCAAATATCTGCTCACAGCTGAAGCAGAAGTGGCCTGAGTTTGTCAGGTCGATGGTATTGCCGTCCTCGAGGATGCTCTGCAGGATTTTTCTCTTGCGCTCCATGGCCAGGCTGGGCATAAGTCCGTGATCAACGCTGATGTGGGGTCTTCCAAGACACAGGTCCTGTTATGTGAAACAAATGATACAAACATGTCAAAAAGACCAATAAAGCCCAGACTATTTCCCTCTTCTAAATGTATTTTCCTTTTCTGCCTTCCTTAAATGTTCCAGATAATAAAAACAGACCAGAGAGCCAGAGCAGAAACAAAAAGTTAGTTTCAAACTATTATTCCATAGCGACTTCATCTGATGTTAATCCAAAACTTAGTTTAAAGAGTTTGATGTGATTTACACTGGAAAAAAAAAATCAAAAGCTAGATAAGTCATTTTTTTCTTAAATTAAGTGCATTTGTTCTTGAATTGAGAAGGTAAAAGAGACACTTTGCCAATGGAACAAGAGATTTCACATTTAAAATAAGAACATACAATTGCATTGAATTATTTCAAGTGCATTTTATCTAAATATCTTATTTTAAGAGTAAAAATGCTCATTCCATTGGCAAATCATCTCATTTACCTACTCAAATTAAGGGTAAATGCACTTAATTTGAGAAATATTTACTTATTTCTAGGTTGTTTTTCAAGTGTAGAGGTAGACGATAAAGTACTGAATATTATCCAACAGAGTTTACTGCTACAAAGCATAATGATAAATCAGCAAAGCAAACCCCAGACCACCATGCTACCTCCACTGTGTGGTCGATAGCATATCCTTTATTTGTAAGGTGGTGGTGGTGGTGGTTTTATGCCGGCTCTAACGAGACCCGGATATTCCAGGAAGTTCCACTTTTGTCCTCAGTCAAAAGAATATTTTCATGAAAGTTTTGAATGTAAAAATGCTCATTAGGTTCATTTTGGATTTGTTTAGTTTTCACCTTGTAACTCCTCTTTGGAGCACAACCCCTCAGTGTTAAATCATGAACACAGACCTTAACTGAGGTCTCCAGCGCTTTGTTCTGGGTTTTTTTTTTTTTTTAAGTAGAAAACAGCTTTTTTTAATATAGTTTCATTAGTTTTGTATTTAGGAATCCTTTCCAAAATATTTTGAGTATATATTAAGTCAAAAATATTAAATGTAAGTCACTCTCCTGTTATATAACAGCTAATGGTGCAATCAGAACAAACACATTCTAGTCGTCAAAGCGTCTAATTTACATGCAAAGTCAATGGCTGACGCTGTCAAGAAGCGTCAAGAGGTCTTGTTGCGCGTGAAAACGCCAGGAGAGGTACATCCAGGCGTCGGAGCATCCCTGCATTCAATGCTGGAGATCAGAAATCTGAACAAGGGATGCACGATATAATCGGCCCCCTATCGGTATCGGCCTGTATCAGCCTTAAAATTGAATATCGGACATCGGCCACCCATCCGATATTTAACCCGATATTTGATCAGCTTCTGAGTTTCTAAAGTCTAAAAAAAAAAAAAAAAAAAAAAAAAATACTACTTCTTCTTCCTCAAAAACTTCTTTTTTTACAGAACTAAAAACTTCTAAAGACGAGGGAAAAAATATTGATACATTAAAATATCACAATATCTTCATATGCTGATATATTGCCATTTAAAAACACCATATCAATCTCTTTTACTAATGAAATATTGCTATATGTAATCGATATGCTACGAAATACCTCAAAAATTCACGAAATATTGCCATATTTTTATATGTTGATATATTGACGAGGTATCGATCTATTTTACTAACAAAATCTCACAAGAATTTGAAAAATATCACGAGAGTTTGTAACAGAACGATTAAATTTTACGAGATTTTGAAAGTAAAAAAGATGGATACCGCGTTTTTAAAAAATAAATTTAATATCAGCATATGAAAATATATTTGAGTATATTATTTTTCAAAGTGTCAGAAATGGAAAACAAAACTGCTATTTTCAATGACTACTTATTTTTGTCCAGCTTTAACATCGGTATC